GTCCCCAAACCCACACTGTACGGAGAATGCAGGGCCCAAATTCTAAATGACGGGAAAACTGGGTTTTTCCCGCGTCAACACGGATCTGGGGTCAAGTAGAACGCCGAGCCAACAGATTTTTGACGGTGCATTTCGGAAAAGCAAACTTTGAGTTGAGAAGCCGCTGCCTGCAGAAGCATATTTCCCCACTGACCATACGGGGAGAACATTGAAAACTGGGTTTAAAAGATGCTTGGCAAACGGGGGCCTAAAAGAAGGGGCCCAACCTGCATCCAACAACAACCCACGAACAGGGGTCAAAGCGAGGGAGCCAATCATGGACCAACTGCGTCTTGGGGCACCGGCTGCATTTTGCAATTGGAAAGTGTTTGTGGTGGTGTGTGTGTCCAAATTTACTGTGTAAAATTAGTGTTTTACAAGTCTCTAAACACTTTAGGGGGGGAGGGGGACAAAGCACCCTATTTTTGTTTTCACCTTTTGTTAGCTGACCAACTGTTACGCAATGCTACCTTTTTTCCCCTACCAAAAAAAAAAAACCTTTCATAGTAAACTTTGAAACCCCCCAATAAAGCTACTGTTTGCTTCTGTTTACTACGGAATCCCAAAGGGAAAACAGAGAAACAAATCCCTTTCCCCTAAGCAGGGAGGCTTCAACAGGTTTGCGCGACCCCTAGGGGGGCTACGGAGGGGACGCAGGGGGCGGAAATTTTTTTTGATTTTTTTTTTAAAACCCCCCAAATTTTTTTTTAAATTTAAATTAAAAACTTTTAAATAAATTAACAAGAATTTCAAGATTAGGCAAAAACTTTTAGTCATCAATTTTCACCATTTTTTACACATCTTTTAAAACAAATTTTATTTAAAAACTTATAACAGGAAAAAATTAAAAAACTTTAATAAATAAAGGGGAATTTTTTTTTTAAATAACCCATTTAAAAAATTAAGGGCTTTTTAATTAAAAACCTTTTCTTAAAAATTTGGGGCCCCCGCCCCTGCCATTTTGGGCCTTGAAAAAATTAAAAAAGCATTTTGAAAAATTTGTAAAAAAAAAATTAAAAAAAATAAAAAAAAAAAAAAAAAAAATAGGGAATTGGGGGGAAATCAAAAGTTTTAAAAAACCGGATTAAGAAGCGATTTTAAAGGGTGCAAAGCTGCGGTTTTTTGGGGATATAGCCCAAAAATTTAATAATTCCCCAAAAATGCCCCGTAAAAAAATGGGCCCCCATTAAAAAACAAAAAAACTTGGGCGGAGAACCTCAAAAGCTGAAAAGGGGGCCCCTACCCGAGAAGCCTGACCTTTCCAATTTAATTCCCAAATGGCGAACGGGGGGGTCGGGCCGAAAAATTAAAAAGGGGGAAAAAAAGCACGTGGAAAATTTTTTTCAGAAGGATTTTGGGCCCCGTCACCGAAAAAGGGGGATTTTAAACATGTCCTAAAAGGGGGGGCTCGGGCAAACCCCTTAAATTGACTTGGAGCCCCACCTAAACTTTTATGGAGTAAAGGAAAAAACCTGAAAAATCAAACAGGGTCTTCACAAAAAAGAAATAAAAATTTTCCTTTCCCTTTTAAAAATAAAGAACAGCCAAACCCGGGAAAAACCCTCCTCGAAATTTTAAACAATCAAAAAGGAAATGGGTTCTGAAAACAGAAAAAGAGTTTTTTTGTTTGCACCAAAGGACTTTTTTTCCCCTCCCCCATAAAAAACCCGGGGTTTAAGTTAGGAGAACAGGCCCAAATTCAAATACGGAAAAAAAAATTGAAAATTTTTACGGTTCGGACGGGTGTAAAACACCAGCCATACAGAGGACCCCTTTTTAAAGCAAACTTTATGGAAATTTTTTTAGCGCTCTTCCCCCTACCATAGGGGGAAAAATTAAGGGCTTAAATCTTCAAACTCCTAAAAGAAAGGGGCCCCCTGCCCCCAACAACCCCCACAACATTTGGGAAAAAAAAATCATCAGGGACCAGTGCAAACTTTGGACCGGTCATTTTCAATTTGGGAATGTTGTTGGGGTGGTCCAAAACGGAAGTTAAAATGTTTTCTGCCCAAACAAGAGGGGGGGGAGGGGAAAAAATTTTTTTTTTTCCCCCTTTTGTTCGACCAACTGTTACCTCTTTTCCTTTTTTCCCACCCCATAAAAAAAAATTTTAAAAACTTTTAAAAAAATTTAAGAATGTTTTTTTCTTTTAGTACGGAAAGAAAACCAAAAATCAATCCTTTTTTCCCCGCAAATTTAAAACAGGGGTTTCCGGGCCCCCGGGGTTAAGGGGGACTGCTGGGGTTTTCCCCAAAATTTTTTTGGGTTGACTTTTTTATAATTCCCCCTGCAAAATTTTTTTAATTTAAATTTTTTAAAAAACCTTAAAAATTTAAAAAAGTAAAAGGGGGATTTCTTTAGCCCCCAAAATTTTTTATGAAAAGTTTTAAGACAAATTTATTAAGAGCTGCCACTCAGTACAGAAGAAGAACCACCATCCACCTCTACAAAGCGAAAGCGGTCACTGGGCAGCTTTTTCAAGGCGGTCCCTGCTTCCTCTACTATGCAGTTGGAGGATACCATTAAAGCAGAACTGGACAACTACCTCATAACTCCTAGCATTGATGGAGAGCAAGATCCACTGGCCTGGTGGAGAGTGCACAATGTCAACTTCCCCTGGCTTAGCAGGTTGGCTCGTAAGTACCTTTGCATACCAGCAACAAGTGCACCATCAGAGAGACTGTTCAGTGCCAGTGGTAATATTGTCACATGTCAGCGTGCAAGTCTGAAGCCAGCAAGGGTTGACATGTTGGTTTTCCTGGCCAAAAATCTCTAAAGAGATGTAGCGATGAAGGGGAACATTGTTTTTTCATCTTATCCTGAAATCCCTTACTTGCACTTACCGGGACATAACTTTGTTCATCTTTTTTACTTATCTTTTGTTTACTGACTATGTAAAATAATTTAACCATTCTGGCATCATTTGTTGTGAGGAAAATATAGGATAATTTAAACTTTAATACTATTATTGTACTGTTATTTTTTACTACCTTTTATGTTTCAATTCCTCTTGCCACTTTATTTGAAGAAGCACAGGTTTCTAAGTACAGGGGTTGTATTTCTGTAACTGCTCTGTTTATGTTCATAAGCTAGCTCCTTTGAGCCATTTTGCACTTCTTTTAAGGTAAGACTTCATTTTTGCTCAACTTTGTTGTTATATGTTATATTTTTTATGAAGCTTATGTTATTTTACAAAGTGCAATTGTTTTGATGCTGCTGAGCCATTAATATTTTTTTAATGAAAAGTGTAAAAGAAGCAAAAGTTTACTTAAGAGGGCTCCCGTCCCTTTGTAATTTTTATGTAGCCTACGTTATTTTACAAAAGTGCAATTATTTTGATGCTGATGAGCCATTGATGCTTGATATTTTTTGTTAATGAATGTAAAAGAAGCAAAAGTTTACAAAGGAGGGTTCTCATTTTATTTGACTTTTTTGGATAATATAATTTGTTTCTTAGGTGCTTGAATAAACAGTCTTGCATTTGAAATATGTTGCCACCAGTTTTCATTCTTGCATTATCTTAATTGAATTCATTGGTTATATAATTATTAAATATATATTAATTTGTACTGAAATTTGATAAAAAAATAAATCGTGGTTGAAATCGAAACCGCAATCTCTGCCAGAAAAATCGCAATTTCAATTTTTTCTTAAAATCGTTCAGCCCTACTTTGTGTGTTTTCCAATGTTTTTGTTTCACATTTGTCCCATCAGAACCACAAACTCCATTGTGTCCTATTTGGTATTTTATATAGTAGTTTGATCACTAATCTAATGTTGCGCATAAAGCATAGTACAGTTTTAGGTAGCTTTATTAGCAGGAAACTGCAAAAAAATAATTTATTTAACCTGCTTATGATTCCTTCAATTAACTACAGATGCAATAAAGCCTTTCTGTTTGTAATTTGATCTCACTGTAAAAAGTGAACTAAATGCAACATTATCTCTCAATAAGTGTATTTTCACTTAATTTGTGTAGGTTAGTAAAATACCAATGGAATCAAGTTCTTACACTGAAAATAATAAAATACAAACATTTCAAGTGCCGTATCATTTTAATATCTTTATATTAGGTTCAAATACCATTTTATTGGTGGTTAACTTTACTGAATGAAAGGAAATACACTTTTTATTTTATTTTAATTTTTTTTCAAAGAATGTTAACTTGTTTTTAAATCAGGGTTTACAGTGATATGAATATATCTGTTCTCTGAGTGGAAAAAGAAGGAAGTCAGTCCTGATATATAGTGAAAAGTGTTTTTACAAAGTAAAGACTGAGGATATATAAATCACCATTGTTCTTTACTTACATTAAATACCAATTGTTGTTTATTCTATCTATTGTCATCTGACTTTATAAAGATGCATATATCTTCTAATGTTATTCATGTTTTTTTTAAATGTCGCTATAAGAAGTAGCAGTCCTCTGCTTTGATGTGACACCATCATGCGAAATGTTGTCAAAGATAAAGTTCTGCAAAGACACTCATCCCAAGCCATCTGTGATTGACTTGATGAGCCTTTGATTTTATTTAATGTTTTCCCTGTGAGGCCGAGCTTCTCTGGTGAACGCTGGCTTTAAACACGGATTAAACCGAATAGCTAAAGAAAGCTGATGGGAAATGTGTGTTTTCATGCATGAGTTTGTCGTTTGATGCCATAAATTCATCCTGGTCCTTTGGGCATACTGATTGAGCTTCCTTCATTTTCTGACATGTGCTGCAACAGTTATACAACTAGACATTTGCATTTGTTTTTGTTTAAGTATGTAATGCAGGTAATATTCGGTTTCTAGCAGTTATCTAGTTGAGGAGGCATAACGCCTTCCCTCACTGTTACCTCTCATTTAAAGAAATGTACTAATTTCCAGATTGCCTGTATCTAATGAGCTGAAAATCAATCAACAAAATGTGTTCAACCATGACGGTTAAAGGGATTGTCTTTTTCTATCCTACATCCAGTGGTGGAACGTGGCGAGAGGGGAAGCCCTGCAGACTTTCTATCCATCAGGAAGTGCTCTGAAGAAAATCCACGTGTCTCCTGACTTCTCCACCTTCGTCACCATCGACAACATCGGCATCCTCTACATCCTTAAGAGGGTGGCATAAGGACACTACAACCAGAATAAATAAATAAATAAAAAACATTTACTACTATCCATTAAAATACTGTGTAGCAGCAACAGAGGGTTTGTTTCACCCTTTTCATTCAGTCAGCCACTAGCCGTTTACAATCAAAAAATACTTGACAAACTATTGCATTAAACACAAGCACTTAAAGTAGCTCTTTGGAGCTACATGACTCTCCTGTTGTGATTGGAGATGCACTTATCTGCAATTTGTGTCCGTTTCCCAACTCTGGTTATTTTTTTTCCACTGAGTCAGTTTTCCTTCTACATATTTTTACTTGCAATCAATAATTATTTATATTAGAAGTAGAAGGCTACTGAGTTAAAATAAAATGATGTTTCTTTTACATCTTATCCCAGCGATTGGCATGATAAGCATTGCTAAATGTAAATTTGTTTTATGCCAGTTTTATGACAGAAATTTAAGCAACTGCTGCTTGAGATTAATTTACTTCCCGGAGATTCGACCATAACTCCACAATTTGGTCACAAATTAGTGTTCTTCACCATGCAGCAGCTTTTTGGGCCAAACAAACAGCTGTGAAATAAAGAGAACTATAATTGGTACCTTCTCGAGTCAGAACTCTGATAAACAGCACAGATCCTTCTGTAAATGAATCATTTTACTTTACAATAGCTTCTAACATATCTGAACTTCATCTGTGAAACATAATATTTTACCTTCTGCTATCACTTCTACACTAAAAAGTATGATCTAAACCTATTAGCTCTTACCTGTGGTTCATTTGCTGTTCATACAAATCTCAGATTTTGAGTTTGCAGCCAAAATTTAATCTGATTCTGATCACCAGCAGATTTCTAGGTGCGATTTCAGAAAGTTCCTGAAACTGTGGAAGAATATTTGTAAGACACTACAAAAAATAATAGGGCTTAAAATCTAAAATGATATAAGAAAAAATATGTAAGATTGATGCAGGTCTTTAACTGTGAATAATTAATGTTAATCAGTTTTGCATTAAATAGGCCGTGTTTGCATGTGGTGTGGGGAAACTTGATGTGAAAGCAATCTTTATGGCTTTTCTTTGCACGTCATTAAACATTTGACTGGAGATTTTTTTTCCTTCATGCTTTACTGCATAAATCTCTGCTGCAGCCAAGTCTTAATGAGAATTATTACAGTGAAAAGATCATGTTTTATACGATTTTTCTGCCTTTTCAAGTCATCTAGCATATAGAAAACTTTTGGTGCAATTTGATAAGCATTAAATATGAATGGCAAGATGAAGTTTTAATGACATAAAGATTAAAAATTGCATCCAGTCAAAGCCGGCGAGAATTTCTTACTTGGAAAGTGTTTGTTCATTTGAGTTTGGATCAAAGGTAAACGTTTTATGCTGGGGGAAAAAAATGTGATTTATAATTTATAACAAAGCTTTTCACTCGTGATTTATACTGTGCTTTTTTATGTTTTTGACCAGTTTCTGTGAGCTCTGAATCCCACTTTTAGTGCCTCTTTTTTTATGTTTTTACTGCTGGAAATTACAATCTTTCAGGAAGCCTTTTCTATAATGTGACTTTTAGACTGTTCAACTTCCTACGATAAGTGCTTTTTCTTAAATGTCATCGAGTTTGTTTCAAGCTTTTTTATGTTATCAAATCTACTACTTATTGTTAAAAGTTTAATATCCACGTTTCCTGATGATGCTGTTGTCCTTTTCTGAAACCTTCCTGGTGTTTTGCAACTTTAATCTGGGAATTTTTTTTCAGTATGTACCACATATATTTCTACAACACCTTTTACTGGTATGTTGCTGTAAGGATAATCTATTCAGGATTAAACCATATTAATTGTTTTTCTGGGTGCTTGTCTTCATTGAGCGTTAATGTCTGCAACATTGACACGACTTCTGGCTTTTAACTGTCTTAATTTTGAATTTTGCAAAGACCGTTATGGTACAACTATGAAAATCTAAACTTTTCTACAGAGGCTGGAGGGCCAGTGGTACCAGATATAAGATAAAAATGTCATAAAGTAAGGCAAGATTAAGTCTGTGTTTACTCTATAGCTGTGGTGGGTTTTGTTTATATTGTACTGATGTTTGATAATAAAGTATTTGTTACGTTTACAGGCATTTGTTAAAAATGAATAAAGTTTTTGCAAAACTTTGGTCATTATAGTGTCTTGTTTGTGGATATCAGATTTAGAGATGGGTCCTGATTTGTAGGGACACATTCTTGCTTCGACTGCCACATCGAAGAGTGTTTTAATCAGCACATCAAGGCATTAAATCAGGTTTTACGCTCCAAAGTTATGACCAGAGGTGTAATTGCATAATTCAACACAGAAACAGGTTCTGTTTCCCTGTAAATGAATAGAACAAAAGCCTAAAGATGGAAAAAATGTCATTGTCCACCGTAAAACAAGTCATGTTACAACATGAGCTAAAAGCAATTTTATACGAAAGCATTACTCAAAAATCCAAGCATGTAAGGCCAGGTTGCAGTTATATACACTGTGGTTTGATTTAAATATTGAGCCAGAATGTTAGTTTTAACATTTCCAGGAAATTGCAAGCATATTTTGTGGGTGTTTTGCTGCTAGAAGCAATGGCATCTCATGGAAAGAAGATTTTGGGGAAATTATTGAACCAACATTTTGTGACAGCAGCAAGGAATTTATAACAAATAGATGTTCTAAATGAAGAATAACCCCAAGCGTACATCAAAATAGTAGTCCATAGACCTGATCAAGCTGCATCATTTTTGTCAGGAGGTTTGGTCTAAAATTCCAGGAATCTATTGTGTAAAGTGTCTGGAAGAATACACAGAAGGTTGGACTTTAGTCAAAGATGAAACTACAGCCGGAATTTCTGCACAGATCTGAATTTAAGGAAACAATACAATCAACAATCGCTAAGAAAATTGTTCTTTGTTATTAGTTTGGTATTTAGCAAACATAATTCATTCTGGTTGACAGTAACACAAATGGGTATGCCTTTTTATCCAGCATATTTTATACAGAGATCTTTTTTCTGTTGTACACCACATTAATTAAGAGCGATAAATCGATAACTTTCAATGGTAGAATTAAATAAAAATGTAGCAACTCTTGTAATAAGAATAAATTAAAAATTAAAGGCTGTTATTTGATTAGAATGAGTCACTTTAATTTGCACATTTAACACGTTTCCAGAACTCTGTGCTATTCAGCAAAATCATAGCAATTTATGCATTTTTTTCTCTTTTAGAGTGGAATATTTTAAGTCTCTCCATATGGCTAAAAAAAAAATAATGCAGCAGAGTGTCTCATAGCAGCTAGTGTTCCAAAAATCTCCCACAGTCTTACTTCAGCACTGCTGATCATATTAAAACCTCCAAAGCAGGAATGGAGCCACATCCCTTATTTATTAGCCTCTTCCTAGTGAAGCAGCTCTGCATTAAGTTTAGACAATGTGGTTTTTTTTGCTTCTAATTTTAAGATTATATACTCGCTCTGTGCTCTCCCAGTGTGCCTTACTGCAGCCATTTCTGTGTTTATACTCAACCCCATTCTGTTTGTTGTGTATTTCTTTCTTCCTGTGGCCTCTGCAGCTGATCGAAACAGATGGCTGCACCTTGTTTTTTTTGGCACACCTTCTGTAAGAAGAGTTGTGAGAAGTTTTACATTTAGGGATGAAGAGAGAGCTCAACCAGGAAGAGATGATTACAGGGAAAAAGCCATAATTTGTATCCAAGTTTAGCCACTGACCTATTTGAAAGAGTTGCCATAAATATATATCCATCTTAAATTGATAGTGTTGCCATCTATATTTGAATGACTTAGTTTACACTCAATAACTTCAAAATCCTTCAAAAACATGCATCATTTCAACATAACACAGCTATTATTCAACAGCTGGCATCTTTCTGTTTCTTAGGGAAGTGGATTAGGGCCACTTAAAAAACAAAAAAAACGTTAACTGATTTTAAAATTTTATTTCAGTATAATATGAGAAAAAAAAGTCAGAATTCTGACTTTAATCTCAGAATTCTGATTTTATCTCAGAATTCTGACTTTAATCGTAGAATTCTGAATTTAATCTCAAAATTCTTACTTTTTTCTCAGAATTCTGACTTTTGGATCTTAATGTAAATGGGCATCATGAAGGCAGAGATGTGGGAGCACTCAGCTTCACTGACAAAGATGTGACTTGTTTGGGAGGGCCAGTAACACATTGGTGGAAAATGATGGAATTAGGCAACTTTTTATGTGCCCGAGGAGTCCCTGGTGATGCTATTTCATTAATGGAGGAACAGAGGGACATTAAAACAAGAGAGCTAGTCTCTAAAACAGACATAGCTACAGCTTGATGCTAACATGTTTGTTAGCTGTCAGAATTCAGTCAGAATTCTGAGATTAAAGTCAGAATTCTGAGAGAAAAAGTCAGAATTCTGAGATTAAATACAGAATTCTGACAAAAAAAAATCAGAATTCTGAGATTAAGTTTAGAATTTTGAGATTAAAGTCATAATTCTGAGAAAAAAGTCAGAATTCTGAGATTAAAGTCAGAATTCCGATTTTTTTTCCCCCATATTAAACTGAAATAATATTTAAAAATCAGTTTTGTTTTGTTTTTTCTCCCAGTGGCCTTAATCCTCTTCCGTAGTTTCTATTGTTTAGTAATGAAAATATATTAGCCATGAAATGTATTCAATATGTTAAATCTAATGCAATAAACAGTTGACTATTTAGTCATTTTAGAATAGAGTAGGTGTTTTAGAATGAATATCTATCAATTGCAAGTATTTATCTGTTTTCAATTAATCCTTTATATCTTATTATCTCTCACAATAATTAATCCTGTTGTTGCAACACTTTAAATCACGTCTTAAAAACGTGAATATGCTTCTGAATAAGGTTTAGCGAGTTTTAAATTGCATTTCAAAATTTTCAGCGAGTTTTTTGTCGGAAAAGTTGACTGCGCCTGCGCAGAACGCGGTGGCGTGCAGAAAGACGCACTTTGCAAATTCTGAAGGAAAACGACTATTTATCGAAAATGAAAAAAGATTTAAAAGTCATGATTTCACTGAACAACTGGAGATGAAACAAGCGAAGCGGCTGAAGAAAGTAAATAATATAGCGAGGTTAAAAATGAAAGTTTAATCGTGGCCTATCAACCTGAGCACACCTGCGCTTAATGAGGATTATCTGCTTGCTTTACAGTTTCTGACTGCTCTGGAAATGGGCTTAAATGAAAACATACATTAAGGTAAGACGGCTTGTTTAATTGTGCTTAATGGGAGAATTGTTATTGGTAGATATAAGTAAATAGTTGTTTCTGTTTATTGCTGTTTTAGTAATGTTTGCGTTTGCTGTGTTCAGTAATGTTCCTCAGCTGGATTCAACCTGATGCATTTCATTTTACACTCATTTAAAGACAAATAATTAACCCCTGAAATTAAAACAACACAAAAGAAACAACAACAACAAAAAATAAAACTGTTAGTTATTATTTTTCCCTTAATATTGGAAAGTGTGGCATGCATCTGCCTTCAGTGCAGGCCCAGCTTATATTGTGCTTTAGGGAAAAATATGGATTTTGATGTCACCAGGGTAGATAGAAGTCTGGAAACCAAGTATTTTCTGTAAACAATATATATTTTTATGCTTTTTATTAAACACAAAATTTCTTTTTTTTAAAGCCTGTCCATTGCAAAGACATTTATGTTAAACTTTACTGTTTCATATTTTGAAGGGGAAACAAAGAACTGGCAAGTTGTTTGGTAAAGTTTAGAATTTTAACATGAAATTCTGGCATTTGTTTAACGCCTCTTTTCCTACAGTATATTCTCTTTATTTTGAACTCTTACCAGTCTACATTACACTGTTTGAGATAAACATGACCTCAGCATCATGCTGCCATCAACATGTTTCACCCTAAGGATTATGCTTAATGTTTAAAGTATTAAGAACATCAAATATAGTCTTTTCTTCCATACTTATCCAATTTTCTTACATAAGCAAGAAAGATAAGCAGTACAACACACTTCAGTTTGGAGCTTTAAATGTTATAAAATCTGTTTTAGAAACCTAGATGATGACCTTGTCAGTCCTTTGCTGTATTTGGAGGTCAGGCTGGCCTGCGGTACTTGAAAGATGAATTGTGATGTTTGGATTTTTTTTTAGGTTGTACTGGTCCTTTTTTTATTTTACCTCTATGCTGTTATTTGTGAAGCTTTGATCTGAGACGTTAATGCAGGAGTAAATAAGACTTAAATGAGTTGTGACCATAGATAAAACAGAATGCGATTCTTAACCCACTGCTGAATATTGATGGAGTTTCTCCCTAAATGTTGCATGATGCATAGCAGATACTCTTAACTCATCCTCCCATTTTTTGCTTGTTTCTGGTTACTGTTGCTGCACTTAGAGCATTGTTACTTTCAGGCTTAGGAAACTGAACGAGCCATGGTGCAGCACTTTGAGCGGATATGACAGGGTGATAAAATGTTGACATCTGTGCGTCATACTTATATGGGCTTTCTTTATGTGCTATGATTGTGGTGTGATGTAAATCCTCCTGACTGTTATGCTGAAGGTGGATTGTAGATTTAATATGATTCAGAAGATTATCATTGAATGAGTCATAGTGTGCTGTAATGACGCTCAGGCAATTATTATGCCATTTTGATTTTATTTTTTTCTAGAGGAAACTTTTCTGATATCAGTCACAAGGCACCAAGGAGGGATAAGTTAGTATTTATTTGCTTCTGTGATTAGAGTTGGCTGCGTGGGGTGGGGGTGATCCCTATATTCATTCATTCTATAGTTCATTCACACTTTTTCACAATGGTGTCAAGATTCTAAAGCCTGGCTGAGGTGTCTGTGCTAACCTCATTAATTCAGCTTACTCCTGGCTAATTAATCGTTGTCAAAGTAATTACAGTTATCTAGAGTTACCAACACCATGTTCCCTTCATGGCTGCAGGAGGGCGGCCTCCCTTAAAGCTGTCTTACCGTAGTTTCCTGTCCTACTGTAAAAAGCTAATGTAACATGAAGTCGGCCTTTTATCTTCTATTTATGGTTCACAGAATATATATATATATATATATATATATATATATATATATATATATATATATATATATATATATATATATATATATATATATATACACACATGTGTGTGTGCGTTTACCTGTCTAGCCATCAGAGTAAGCAGCATTTTTCCAATTTTGCGATCAGATTAATGACCAGTTTTTTCATAATGAGGACATGTTGCCAGTTCTCACATGCTATTTTGCTAATGGTTAGGCTTAGGTGTCAATTGGGTTAGGGTGAGGTGCATTGGTAATGGTTATGTTTAGGATTAAGGCATAGAAAAGGTTGAAAATTACTGAAAATCAATGGGAGTCAACACATGGTCCTCACTATGATGGCAGAACGAGTATATATGTGTGTTTGATTATTTTAGATGTAGAATATGAGGCTCCGTTTCTGTAAAAAATAAGCAGATGTAAAATGTCTAGATGTTGTGCTGTTGTTGCATATGTGTTGTCTGCATATGTATAAGTTGCACATGTATTTGTTGCATATGTCTATGCTGCATATGTTTATGTTTATATTACAGTGAGACATGCAGACTGGCAAGATTACAGTGAGGCAACATCTACATATGCAACATGGACATGCAGATTCTATATATGCAACATAGACATAAGCAACATCTACATACTGTAGACATGCAGATTATAGATTTGCAACAAATACATGTGCAACTTATACATATAAAACATAGACATGCAGAATACAGATATGCAACAAATTCATGTGCAACTTATACATATGCAGACAACACATATGCAACAACAGCACAACATCTAGACATTTTACATCTGCTTATTTTTGACACAAACGGAACCTCATTGTAGAAATATTGATTTATTTTAAGTAAACAAAGCAAAGGGGGCTTGTGTCATTTTTCTAATTTATGTTTAATAGATATTCTATTTGATAAAGAAAAACTTCATAGGGTAAAGTAATTAGTCTCCTAAGTCAGTGTTCAGAACACAGCGTAATGGATGAATATTGAAACCTTTCTATTATCCAAGTATGACGTCTACAGTCATATTGGGACTCAGAGGAGATAAAAAAAGGTTCTGTTTCAAAGAAACTAAGCTCCCTTTCAGTCTGCTGTCTACCACCTATTTTGTTCTCTTTTTGTTCTCACACATTCTCATTAATTTTTCAGCGTTTGCTCTCTCTCTCAAGCTGGTGCCTATGCAAAGTGCAATTGTACATGCAAATTTGGACAGCCAACCAATCACAATGGTGCATGGATACTGTTTAAGAGGGTATGAGCCCCTGTTCGCATCATCTGCAATAAGTTGGTAGTTATTTATATATATATATATATATATATATATATATATATCTATATGTGTGTGTGTGTGTGTGTGTGTGTGTGTGTGCGCAATGGCAGAAGTCTGGTCCATTTCTATCTTTCTAATAACCCAAATTTAACAAAGAAGAGGTGTTTTATAAAACTCGCTCGAGTCAGACATGGATTCCCAATTGTTACTCATCTTGAAGTTACAGCGTTGCCTTTAATTCCTGTTAGTGCTAATATTTGTCAGCTGAAGGTCACAATAAGATATTCTAAACTAGAAAATATTTTATCAAAAGCTGACTAACTGAATTGCATACACAATTTGGCTTTAGTATAAAAAATATGTCTGCTTTGTGAACAGGAGAAAATGAAAAAGATGCTAATAAATATATAACTGATTCATAACGATGTAGTCTTTAAATTTTAAGCAGGTTTAATAAAAATAAGTGTGGTAAATCATTGATGCGACCTCCATGTGTTAACTGATCCTCATAATAGGAATTTATTTTAATTCCTATTATTTATTTATTAATCTGAGATGGATGTTCAAGAACTTTCTGAACATTTTCCTCAGTTGATTAGAATAATTATAATTGGTTCATCCCAACCAGTTTTCCTATTTCAGGTGTTTATGTGTTATAGTAAGACTGTAATTGGAACCCTCAGAGGATTAACATATGCTTCCTGAATATTGGTCTAGTTATTTTGGCCTAGTTATATACTACGACTTTAGAAAATATTTCCATTAAAAGGCTTTCTGATTAAATTATGGCACCCTGTTGGCTTATTGTTGTTTTTATATTTGTGTTTTTACACTTTGGTCCATTTGTTAGTAAACTAAATATTTGTGTTAATTAATCGGTTTCTGGCCGATGACCGATTCCCGATCTTTAAAAATTCTGACATGCAGATTTAGATTTTGATCAATACAGAAGTTTTTTTTTTTTTAACAATCGACTCTGTCAGTTGTTATAAGATCACATTAAACCTTCAATCTTATCTTACTGAAAAACATGAATCGGTGCCTGTGAAATGATAAAAACTTTTGAAATTACTGTTCTCAAATATAAATCAATGAATAGAGCATAGATTTTTCCAGACCTTTCCAGAGGTAAATAAGATCTGTGGAAAAGATTGGATTCACATCTAAGTTCTTAGATCACTGATCTTCAGAAATGGAGGCAATTGCTTTCGAGTCAATGAGTCGATGCAATCAACTGGCTTTCCTAAATAGAAAACTTTGAATCCATTTGACTGTATCATCTGGTGAACTGTAAAGTGCCTTGATGACATGTGTTGTGAATTGGCGCTATATAAATAAACTGAATTGAATTGGAACCAAAGCTGATAAATCCGCCCGCTGATCAATTTGGTGAACCCCTAATAACAGCAAAAATATGAGCAAAAATTAGGGAGAAACAAGGGAAAAAGATTTGTGTGTGTGTGCTAGGGTTGTCACGATACTAAAGTTTTCAACTCGATACCGATACTAAGGAAAATATTCGATACTCGATACCATTTTCGATACCACAAGGATAACATATCAAAAGAAATATTTTGATTAATAATTAAAATACCATAAATAAATAAATACAATAAACAATAAAAACAACATTTTGAGGTTGTTTTCTGTGCACAGTATTTAGCAAGCTTGATTAAAAAAAAACTTACAAAACTAAAATTAAGTTTTCCTTACTTAGCTATGCTTTGCACACATAACTATGGAAGCCTGTTTCCGCCACTCTGTAAAAAAAAAAAAAAATAACTATCTCAATATAATGAGATAGTATCTCATTATAATGAGATACTATCTCAATATAATGAGATAGTTTAGTTTTAGTTTTATTGAAAGGATCCCCATTAGCTACAGCTATGCTGC